AGGTGACTCTAGGAAACTGGTGACTACTAGTCAGGACCAATACATTGTTAGAATCCAGCAGTCATATTCCAAGCAGGGTCATGCCATTGGTCTGTGTTCTCATGAGAGCTGCAGAGAATTGTGTTTGGGAACCGCTCACTTGGAGACAACTGCAAGATACTTATAAATTCAAGTGTGAACGTGTATTTCCTTTAAAGAGTTTCTTTTCCGAGAAATGTTTGTGGCTTCTGAAACCATTCCTGAAACTGAAAATGATAGTGCTGAGAAATAAAACACTGCAGTTATAGAAACCGAAACAAAACCCATAACCACTGGCTTTCCAGTGTGCTTAACGTGAGAATCCTGTCTTCATTTCTTTTTTTTTTTTTTTGAGTTGGAGTCTCACTCTGTCGCCCAGACTGGAGTGCAGTGGCTGCTCCCAACCACCGCAGCCTCGACCTGCTGGGCTACGGTGATCCTTCCGCCTCAGCCTTCCGAGTAGCCGGAATTACAGGCATGCGCTACCACGCCCGGCTGATTTTTTGATTTATTGTAGAGATGAGGTCTCGCTGCCCAGGCGGGTCTCGAACCCGCGGACTCAACCAATCCACTCACCTCAGCCTCCCAAAGGCGCGGGATTACAGGCTGAGCCACCTAGCCCAGCTTGTCTTCATTTCTTAACAGCTAAAGCAAATTTCTGTTAGAATCACAGATTTTCAAAAGTGTTAAAGCCTTTTAAATATAATTTAGTCTACTCTTAAAGAAAATTCTTAAAACCTTTCTATACCATTAGTATATGATTTCCTCCCTCTAGTGCCGATCTTCTGAGCAATGTCCTCTGGGAACAGAGCTGGCATGAAGGGCTGGGAAATTTTCAGCAGACCCAGACCTAGACCAGCCACGGAGCAGAGGTGGTGGGGTGGACATCAAGATACCAGACACAACAGCAGGCCCTGGGAGGACATTGAGGCTGGCAGGCAGAGCCTGGACTCTCAATGGTGATGGAAATTGGTACTAAGTACAGAGTGGTCACCAGTTTCTGGGAGACCTGTGACTGGCAGAGCACAGTCCCAGAGGTGGCATCTGGAGATGTGAGTGGACAGGACCGTATGTCAAGACACAACTCAGTCCATGGTGAGTTTCAGGGGCAGAATTTCAAACTACATACTAAGCCTGACAATTAAGTTCACAAACTCATCCTAGAAAAAGTACGACATACTTCATTGCTGAAAATCATTACAGTCACCTTGGAAGTACTGCCCTTGGAAAGCTATGCACTGATGCCAGTGCCTAGTCCACCCATCAAAGCAATTTTGGAACTTTTTTATAGAATGGCCATCAGAGCTGTCATTGTATTACCCTTAATGTCCTGAATGTCATCAAAATGTCTTCCTTTCAATGTTTCTTTTATCTCTGGGTTAAAAAAAAAAGTCTTTGGGGACCAGATCAGGTTAGTGGGGAGGGTGTTCCAATACAGTTATTAGTTTACTGGCTAAAAACTCCCTCACAGACAGTCACTGTGTGAGCTTGTACATTGTCCTGATGCAAGAGCCCCTTTGGGACCATTTTTGCTCACATCTTTCTCATGTTAAGATTTTCAGTTAAGATTTTCCTGTTTTTCTATCAACATTTAGTTGGTCTGCTATGCTTCTCACAGTAAATCGATTTTGATGCACAATTTGGTGAATTTTTGCAATGTTTCCATTAGTTCTGCTTGTTACTGGCTGCCCTGACCTTTCGTCATCAGTGATGCTTTCTCTCCCCTCAGAAAAATGTTTAATCCACTTGTACACTGTCATTTTCTTCATGGCATCATCCTTATATACCTGAACTAACATTTCCCTGATTTCACTTTCACTCTTGCCAAGTTTAACAAGAAATTTAATGTGAGTTTGTTGCTCTAATTCAAACTCCAATATTCTTGCAATGACAGCTCTGATGGTCATTCCAGAAAAAGAGTTCCAAAATTGCTTTGATGGGCATTGGTTCATAGCTTCTCAAGGGGAGTATTTCAAGGGTGACCATAGTGATATTCAGCAATAAGGTATGTAGCATGTTTTCCAGAATGAGTTTGCAAACTTAATAGTCAGACCTTGTACTCTGTTTAGGAAGCACACACACCTGACTGTCTACCTGAAGCTCTTTCCTTGACAGGCTAGCTTGCCTCACCCTCAGAGCTCCCTGCACCCTGGCTGTCTTTCCAGCTTTGCACCACAGGCTACTATTTAGATTAAATGCCATCATTTCACTGGGTCCTTTTTCAAGACACTCATTTTTACATACAATTCCATTTTCATTCTCTGCATGTTTAGAAGCCCCCACTCCTGCACACATACACATTCAGCATGCCTGCTTATCCTTTGTTATAACCAGCAATACCAGGTACTTTTAGAGGTGACCACTTGTTAAACATTTAAATGAATGACTGAACTAATTAATAAATGGCAAAACATGAGATAATCTAGTTGGGGGAAGGGACTGACAGATAACTGTCACTAAAAGTTTTTGAATCAAATCCCTAAGAATAGGACCTGCTATTAAAGTTTTAATAGGTCACTGTCTTGCTAAGCTATGGCCAGTTCATTTTTTCTTAAGTTTTGGCCCTTTCCCCTACATTGGGGAGGTGAACCACCTCTTTTTCTCTCTCTCCTTTGACTTACTTTATAAATAAACTATACTTTCTAATCTAAAAAGATAAAAATAAACTCCTAATAAATGAAGAGAATGAAGACAGATGGGAGGAATGGTGGAAGGAGGAGGTGGAGCTGAGTAGCTTGGGCCTCCAGGGAGAATAAGCCATTATGGAACGATGGTAAGGCCCCAGTACGGACATCATGGTGAGTGACCAGGAGAACGCAGCCCTTCCTCTTGGTTTGAGAAAAGTGGGGCTATAAATACACCTCACTCAAGAGGACAGAGGGTGTCAGTTAGCTAGGTTTCAGCTAAGTGAGACCTGGATGAAGCTTCCACACGAGGGCTGCAGGGCTGGTGAGCTTTGTTCATGATAAGCATGGGAGGTGTGGAGGAGAAGGTAGCACCTCAGAGCAGCAGGATAGTGTAGAGAGGGCTCCAGCAGCAAGAGAAGAGCTGTTCAAAGTACAAGAGAAGGAGGACTTTCTTGGAGATGGAGAACTACAGAGGCCGTGGTCATAGCAGAAGCCTTTAAATAGGAAACTTGCAGCAAATTGACAAGAAGCCTGGCAGAACCTGTCTAATCTCAGAGAAGAGGGTCCCGCCCATCCTGCACAACGAGGAGGACCCCAAGCTGGATTTGCCTCTAAATACACAGAAAAAAATAGATGTTTATCACACATGGAATGGTAGTTCTGTGGCACTACACCAGGCGCCATGGGTGGTGGTGGTGGGTGAGTAGTTAAGAAGGAAAGTTGGACTCAGAAAAGAATAATACATTTCTCACCCCTTTTCTGTTCACTTGGTCCATGGGCTACTGACTCTTCCCAGATACCATAAGGCAAGTGTAGTGGGTGGGTGCCACCAGGAGTCAGTGCACTGTGAACTGCCTGTCCAGACTATATTCGAATACCCTCGAGGTGGTGGGGCAGACAGCTAAGGGACACACACATTCTCTTAGGGTCATAGAGAGTCACTGAGTCACTAACACAACCCTTGTCTAAAATTCCGTGATCACTTGGATCCTTAAGTTTTGTACCCTGTAGTTATTTAGCTTTCATTTACTAGGCATATTCCATATGCCAAGGCACCATGTACAGACTCATCTCAATAATCTTGCAAAGGGAGCAGTTATCCTTCTTTTACAAATGAGGATGCTGTGTCTTGAAGGGACATGCCTGTTAAACACACAGACCAGCCGCATCCAGCTTCAAAGTCTGTGTTCTCACACTGGAGCCATGCTGATGAAGGCTCTGTGTCACAGAAGTGGCTGTCACTTGAGTCACAACAATGCTGTATCGAGAAAACTGAAGGTGGAGGAAGCAATGGTGTTGCTTCCTGTAAAACAAGATGTAGCCGCAGTTTGAAACCTTTGGTTCCACTAGTACTCTTTGAACAATCACAAACCCCTCTGTGCTGAACAACTCAACGTGGTGGCCGCAAAGTAAAAAACCGACACTCCCCCAGGTACTGACAGTGCTATGGCCTACCTGAAGAAAAGTCATATTGCTAAGTAAATCAGTACCATACATTCAGTCTAACGACCTGCAGGAAACCAGGTGGAGGAGAAAGCAGTGATGTGAACCAGGCTTGCCCAGAGCTTGAGCTTGGCTCTGCTGCGCTGTCACTTATGAAAAAGAAACTGGAAGCGTGTTCTTGGTTCCCGCAAGTGACCAGAATTTTTGTAATTATTAATTAATTAATTTTGCTGGGAGTTGACTTGGTGACTAGAGTGACTTTTACAGGGAAAAATCTGCTTTTTCCCAGTTTGCTCAAGTGCCTGCCTTGGGTCAGCAGGGCAAAGAAATCCCCTGGCATTGTCAGATAAGCCTAACAATGACCAGATGAGGAAACCACTTCTATCTTGGGGGAGGTCACTGTCCCTTCCGTCTTGGGAACAGGGTGGGTCCCAGGGAGGCCACGGGTGGGGGGCAGAAGGGTGTGGTGGTGGTGGTGGTGGTGGTGGTTTCTGTTTCCTGAGTCTCAGTCAGTTAGAGCAGATACAGTTGAAATTAGACCTGAGCAGCCCTCTTCCTTCTAAAACGCCGCCTCTCAGCAGAAGGGAAAGCCCCAGGCCCCAGTACATCTAAACCACTCGACAAGCAGGGCAGCAGAGGCAGAAGCGCCAGGCCTGCCGCGACTCCCCGAGGATAAGACCTGTGAAGAAGAGACCAGCGGGGGCACAAAGGGTCTGCCGCGACCCCCACCCCCACCCCGAGGCTGAGGTCCGTGGAGAAGTGAGCTGCAGGGCCGCGACCCCTGGGGATAGGTCCGTGGAGAAGTGACTCTCAGGGAAGTGGAGGCAGGAGCGACCGGGCCGGCCACGACCCCGGGGATAGGCCCGGGAAGTGACCCGCAGGGCGTGGAGGCGGGCCGGCCGCGAGCCTGGGATGAAGCCGGTAGAGCGGATCCGAGAGGTGCTGGACCTGCACCTCAAGCATCGCAGCGCGCTGGCCTATGGCCTGGTGACGCTACTGACGGCGGGCGGCGAGCGCCTGTTCTCGGCCACGGCCTTCCAGTGCCCCTGCAGCGCCACCTGGAACCAGGTCTACGGCCTGTTCTTCCTGCTGGCGCCCGCCCTGGCGCTGCTGCTGCTGAGCATCACGCTGAGCGCGCGCGTGGGCCGCCTGTTCACCGGCCGCACCGCGCGCGCGCGCGGTCGCGGCTCGGTGAAGCGCGCGGCCTGCGTGTTTTGTACGTGGTGTTGATCTAATGCTCTTTGCCTGCTCCTGGGAGTCTTAGATAATGCCATAAAAACCCATCTACCTAGATCATAATCAAGCCACCATAGACAGAAAACACTCCTATAGATAATATGGGGTACCCTGAGGAAAATATATTACATATCTACATAATAGGAAATGATGATGTAGGGTATGACTGAATTCTCATTATGAGAAACATATGTTAGAAGAGAGTATAACCACATCTTTACACACACACATACGCACACTCACACACACACA